TGGATGGGTGGCCATGGATGGGTGGATGGATGGGTGGATGGGTGGATGGGTGGCCATGGATGGGTGGATGGGTGGATGGGTGGCCATGGATGGGTGGGTGGATGGATGGATGGGTGGCTTTTTTTTTTTTTACAGGATGTGAAGTAATAAACGGTATACTTCTGGAGAAAGTCTAAACGGCATCAAGTAGAATAAAGTGATGTTAATTAAATCGTCTGATGGAAGCAGGTGATTATTTCAGAGACTGTTGGAGGGTTTCTACAGTTTCTGGCTGATTAATGCCGTCACTGTAGTTGTTCTAGTGTTTTATTTAAAAAGAGAACTGTTCAGGGTTCCTACAATGACTTTAAAACCTCTTAGCTGTGGTTCGTGTCCCTGCTGAGCCACAGCAGACATCCTACAATCAGCTGTACAGTCTCCCGTGTTACTACAGTAAACCAGCAGAGCTCCTTTATGAGCCGTGAGCCGGTGGACGGTTACCTGGTGGGTGACGGCGGAGGGGAGACCAGGTCTGAGGTGATCTGGAACACAGAAACAGGCATTAGTTAGTTCTGGTTCTAACAAAGCTGCGGCATCGCTTCACCTCCGCCTGGTCTCACCTTGTTGCTGTCGGCCATGCTGTAGGGGCGGGGCCTGAAGGTGCTCACCCTCTGGGGGGGGAGGCAGCGCTCCTCCTCCGACTCGGGGGTGAGGGCCGGCAGACCCGGGGAGCCCAGCTTGTCCAGCTGGCCGGTGCTGGTGCTGTTAGCTTTAGATAAGAAGAGGGAGCTGCAGGGAGGACAGAAGCACAGCAGGAAGAGATAAAGGAAACACCAGAGATGTTGGTCCTGCCTTTAAAAACACTGCTGCTGCTGCTGGAGGACGCCGTCATGTTTTTACTGAGACCACAGAAGGAAAACACTGGACTCCAAGTGTGGTCGAGGTTAAAACAACTTTCCGAAGCGTCAGAAGTCAGATTCCAGGTCGGTTCTCACCTCTCGAGGAGATCCGTCTTGCTGTGTCGAGGCTGAGTGTAGGAGAACGGGAACCAGCCTTTCCTGGGGAGGAAAACACCGACGGTCACGTGATGTTTGAAGCAGCAAAACAAACCAGAGTCTGTACGATCAAGGAAACTCTTCATGAACACGCATCTGTTCACTCTCCTGGGTTTTTCCTCATCTTTATGATCCTGCTACTTGCTGCTCCTCCTCTTGTTTTTATTGTGAGTTTATTTCATGAACGAAGAGCCACGATTCACTGGAGTGAGTTAGTGAGCAGAACTTTATGGCTGCATCAGGAAGCACAGCATTTGTAGGTTTTTCAGTGTTTTAGTGAATTTTAAAATGAGAGGTGTAGAATAAAGTGATTTATTTTAATGAAATGCCATGATTTAGGCTCAGACATTCACAGACTGTCAGAACGCTGGAAATCAGACCAATCTTTGTTTTTACAGGTTCTGGCCGATAAATGGAGTCACTCTGGTGATTTTTTTTTCTTTCAGAGCTGACAGTCGACTACACCACAAAGAGAGTTAGATGGTGTTTGTGTGGTGAGCTACAGACGAGGATGAGGTCACTGGGAGGACTGTTTTATTCATCTGATGTAGTCTACCAGTCTAACAAACTACTAAATCATACCGTCCGGTCCGTTCATTCTGGCCGTAGTGCCACCCATCCCTGGGCTCAGAGATGAGCAGAGTGATGTCGTCTCCAGGCAGGAAGTGCAGTAGACAAGCCCCGCCTCCTGCACCTCCACCTCCACCTCCACCACCACCACCGCCACCGCCGCCACCACCACCGCTACTTCCGCCGCCGCCCGAGGCTCCAGGCGTGTGAGCAAACATGGCCTCCACACGAGTCGGTCCAGACAGAGGCAGCATCCTGGGGAGGCTGGAGCCTGGAGGAGGAGGAGGAGGAGGAACGGAAGTAGGTACAATTTAAAATATAAATAAAGAGCTTTTCACAGACGAAGGCAACATGAACATACAGGAAAACACCAAAACCATAAAATTACTGCCCGAGTCACGGAGTTAAAAGTACAACAACTGCACAACACTTGGTGGAAAACTCAGTACACAACAACACCACACAAACAACAACACCACACAAACAACAACACTACACAAACAACAACACCACACAAACATGAAGCCAGGACAGAGCCGGGCCGCCAGGTTAACACACAGGTGAGTGTTCAGCTGTAACAGAAACCAGACACTCAGCAGACCGTCAGGGTGCAGCAGAGCGTTCAGAAGCTCGTGTTTTAAGGCGAGTCGGAGACTTTTGACCTGAGAGACGAGCTGAGAGCTACGATGAAGAAGCTCAGCAGCGTGATCAGGAGCCTCTGTGGGAATAGTTAGAAGTTTGAACCAGGTCCTCTATGTGACAGGGAGCCAGTGGAGGGACTTTAGTGTCGGGATAATATGAGAGCGTCTATCTAAAAGGTGGAAGATGAGGAGAGAAAATGAACACAAGAACCCAACCAGAACCAGAACCGGCGTCTCACCCTGGAAGCCGCCCAGCCTCAGCTCGCTGACGGGCCGCCTCGGCAGCGGCAGCGTCGCCGTCGCACACATCTCCGCAGCCTTCAGCAGCCAGGGGTTGTGGGACGGAGACAGAGTGCTGCTGCCTCCAGGACTCACCGGCAGCAGGTGGACCGGCGTCATGGCCCGGCTCAGGGGGGCGCTGTGGGGCAGCGGCGGGCTGTGGGGGGCGCTGTGGGCGATGGGCAGGGTCATGCCCTGGGAGGAGCCGCTGGTCGGACACAGCTGGCTGAGCGACATGACGGTGGAGGGGATGAGGCTCGGGGACAGGTTGGACGTGTTGGCGGCCAGCAGGACGGCGCTCTGCTGGGCCGAGCCTCCGGACGACGTGGTCGTCGGGGTGGAGGCGGCCGGGCTGCCGTCGGGGAGCGGGCTGGAGCTGAGCGGGGAGCTGGTGTGCTGAGGAGACGCCCCTCTGGACGAACCGCCGGCTGCTCCGCCGGCAGACGATGCAGAACGGAACGTCTGAGGAGAACCCTGAGGAGCAGCGTCGCCCTGGGAGGCCGGAGGGAGAGAACGCTGCTGCTGCTGCTGCTGCTGGGACCGACCCGAGTCTCCGTTCAGCAGCGGAGGAACCTCCAGAACCGACAGCCGCTGGAACACAAGGGGTCAGAGGTCAACGTTAACCCAGCAGGGAACGTTCCCACAACGTTACTCACAAGTTCTAATATCGTTCTAAAGAAAACATTTCAATCTAATGTTCAAGGAATGTTTCAGGGAAATTTCAAGTAATGTTCCTCCGAGGTTCTAACAGGAACAATCAGGGGATGTGGTCACATGCTACCTGATAACAAGAACGTTCTCAAACAAACTTTAAAAAATAGTTTTGAAGATGTTATCGAGGACTCAGATGGCAGAACATCTATATATTTATTTGGAAACGCTGTCAAGAGAACCATTACAGAACGTTCTTGGACTGACTGACGTTTTGAGACTTCTGTTGTGTTAAAACTGCTGCAAGCTGTCAGATGAGGTCTCCAGACTTCTAACTGTGTTGATGTGGAAAACATGGATATAATGAACTCTTAAGCATGCAAAGCTCCTCGGTACCGACGAGCCTGTTCCGACCTGTTCTGGCTGAGCCGAGCCGATCTTGGCGTGTCGCAGGACGTCGGCGATGCCAGCAGCTCCGGGGTTCTGCGGCGCCGTGTGTCGCAGCAGGTTCAGGGCTCGCTCGGGAAGCTTGGTCGGCTGAGAGCACGACTGCTGCCACGACGACAGCTTCTGGGACAGCAGCTCTCTCACCTGAAGCACAGAACCAGAACCAGAACACTGAGATCGACTGCTGTTAGCGAGACACAAGCTCTGCTGAAGACAATCTGTACAATGTTTGATCTTCTTTCTGTGTGTTTCTATTTTTCTGGACCTTCTTGTGTAAAATGAGTCCATTATTATTATTATTATCATCATTATTATTATTATTACATTGATGCATTAGAGGCTCAAAATGAGAAAGTTCTCTACAATAAAAGTCAAAGATCAGGAAAAAAAACTAATTTGTTGAAGTCAAATCAGAACAACAAACCCTCTGAGGGCTGCAGGAACTACTTTACATGAGTTTTCTAATTATTCATGCTCTTAATAAAAGGAATAATAAATAAAAGCTAAATGCGTGTTGTAGTGACTGGATAAGACTGCTGTTCATTCATATTTTCTTTTTCTCTCTTTTTGAAATCCACAACAAATGTTAGAATCAAACCAGAAACAAACGTGTTTGTCCTTCAGTCACGTCCCGTTTTTACACCTTTCATGAGGAACCAATGATTAGTTGTTCAAAATAAGAAATGCACAAATATTATGAGTCATTATTTGAAAAAGTGTAAACGTAACTTTTAGTGGCTCAAACGGGATCAAACTGTTTGGTGGGGACTATTTTCTGCTGCGGATGAACACATTCTGGGATCTCAATTTAGGTTTATTCAATCCAATATTTGTTGTTCTTTATAGTCAACATGTTGTTTTTTTTTATAAATTAAAATATAATAAGTAAAAAAAAAATTTAAATAATAAAAAAAATAGTGAAAAAACAAGATTATTTTTTTATTATTTTATTTATATTTCTACTTTTTTTTTAGCCTTTTCCATTTATGGATTCATTTTTGATTAATATTGCCACATTATCATATATATTTTTAATTTATTTATTCTTCTTTTTATTTCCACTCTTACTTTATTATTCTTTTATTGATTTTGTTTGTAATTTGGCCTCTCACTGCTCCAGAGAAATGAGCTGAACTGACTTTAAGCCACCAGGTTTCGACGACACAAACACTTGTTCAATTCCTTTGTTCAGAGTTTTTCATGTATTTGAAGACAGAAGCAGAAACACAGGCCATCAGCAGACTTCAGACTCTGCGTCAGGAGCGAGCGGTCACCTTAGAGTGGTAGTTAATGAGCAGCTTGGTGACGCAACACTGCCGGTCGACCAGGAAGCAGTAGCGCCGCCGCTCCTCGGTCAGCGCCGACTTGTAGCCTGTGGCCACCAGAGAGTCCAGCTCGCCTTGTCGACGGCTCATCAGCTCCACAAACTGAAGCGAAACACCAACGTTAACACATGCAGCCTCCTGAAGATAACCTTTAGTGCACAATGCCAGCCTGTGACATCACTTCCTGTTTCACAGTGAGGATAACATCAAAATCCCAAACCTCTGCACGCTGACCTTTCCTTCTTATGTGTCCCTGACCTTTGATTCCTTCGTTCTTCAAGCAGCTAAACCCTCTCAGCCTCTTACTTCATTCATAAACTGCTTGTTTTGTGTAGAATCAGCTGAAGCAGATTGTTCTTTAATCTCATCCACGCCGGCCTACTTCTCACACCAGCACAGCTCTGCTCTTTAATCTGCTGACTGGGATCTTTACCATCACGTATTTGGAGGATTTCTAATCCTAACTTCACTGGTGCAGCCGGTCGGCCGGCTAGACGTCGGCTACCTGCATCTCTCTGTCGCCGTATTTGTTGGGATGGCGGCTGCCTTGGCTCTTCCTGCGGAGCTTCTTCAGCTGAGACTGGCAGCGCTCGATGGACTCGGACTTAGACCTTCGCTCGCTCTGATACTTCTTCAGGGTGGCCTGAGAGGGAAGCAAAGAGTCAGACACAGGATTTAATTAAATTATATTCAAGTTTTAAGTAGAGTTTTAATTACTATCAGTCATCAAGAGGAACATGGCTTCAGACACCAGCTAAACTGGGCTTCAGATAAAATATTCACCCTCTGGAAAGTTCTCTCTGAGTCATGGGCAATT